CACAACAAGAGAGATGCAGATGGGGAAGGTGAGAGAGCGTTAGACGACCTGGAAATGCTCTAATCAATATTTACGTGGACAAACTTGAACTAAGAAAGTATGGTAACAATAATATTTATTAAGCTAATGCTAATGCTAATGTCAATGGTAATGATTACGACTGTGATATATCTTTGAAGTATTATAAAATTCGAATACTAATGCTAATGAAAATGGTAAGACTTATGCTAATGATAATGCTAATACTCATAATATTGTAAGGGTTAATGCTAATGATAATGCTAATGATAATGCTAATTATAATGAGAATCAAGATAATTTCTATAATTATTACGATCAAATGATAATGATCATGACAAAGCTAATTCCAATGACAATGATAATGATATATTCACCAGGGTAACAAACTTGTTCCTTAAACTGGATTCAAATAAATTCCAACAAATGATTCTTCTTCTTCTGGTATTCATATTTCGTTTTTCCCTATATCTATTAAATCCAAGAGCCGAATTTTAGAGTGCAACAATATCCGAGAAAACATGTTACAAAATGGTTTCACTCCAGGAATCAAAATTTAAAATGATTTCAACGGATCCAGGGAATACCAAAAAAATATTGTTGCATTATCTTACGATAACTGTTTATTATTTTGATTTGAGTGAGCACTTTGTTTACGCTTTGTTAGAAAGTAAGTATGCCGTGATATATGTGGTCTATATAGATGCGCCTCTAAGGTCTATATATTCATAGGATCAACTGTTCTTGTTGTCAACAAAAACAACTTGACGAATGACTCTCGTATACCAAAGTAACTCGTTGCTGAGCGAGATTGTAAAAGCGTGCATGCCTACGTGTGTGTGTGTGTGTGTGTGTGTGTGTGTGTCTATTACTCTCTGACTGGCATATCAAGTGACACAATTGGAGGCGCGTGCAGCAGAGATTGTGGCATCAATAGTTACATATTGCCAACTACATGACACCAATGCGATTTTCTAAGCTTCATCAACAGCAATGGCAATGTGTGTGTGTGTGTGTGTGTGTGTGTGTGCGTAGCTATGTGTTTGTATTTGGGGGCACGTTCGGTAGCTAAAACGGGCCCACTTTTTGCATACCCTAAGTCCATGCATAGGCAGGGTATAATGAACTCAAGCAAATGCATGTACCACACATTCTATAACTGTAGAAAATACACTCAAATAAACCCATAATCATTTAGAGTCAATAGAACATTTCTTCTGTAGTCTATCAAATATATTTATTAAAGATTTTAGGCTAGATATATGTATGTATATGTATCCATAAATAAATAACTCTCACTTTTTACTCAGCACAACTAGATAATCTCTCACTCTTCGGACTACAAGAGACTCCAAGAGAGCTAAGACCTAGCATATCTTAAGCTATTCACACTTTTCTCCCTCCATCTCTCTCTATTATAGTTATATAGGGTATCTGCTAGTTGAGCAGAGCCAATTACTGGAATATTTATTTTATTATTACTAAATTTTTCTTGCGGTTCGCATCTATTTTGATTTGATTTTTATTTTTTGCGCAGCACACGCGTCGTATGCGCAATACGAACGGCCTCTTAATATTATTATTGTTGTTGTTGCTGTTGTGATGTTTGTTGCTTGTGAGTTTTTAGTGCTTTTGTTGTTCACTTACTAGCATTTTGTTTTGCTTGTTCTAACCTTGATAGCCGAAGCGCGTCATCGTACCAACTACAGCCCCAACCCCAACCCCAGCCTCAGCCCCAGACCTCAGGCCCCACTCCACTCGCAGTTACTGTCGCAGTCGCAGTCGCAGTCGCAGTCCCAATTGCAACTGCGATTCATCCTGTTGTTGTTTTCGCACATGTAAATATTATTTATTATTTATTATTGCAGAAAATAACCAGAATTTATCAAGTTGTTGTTGTCCGTCACCATCTGACAAACGAGGCGATCTAAGCACGCTCACTGGGCACAATCAAGGCAGTTACTCAAGAGAGCAACTGTTCTCTATATCTCTCTCTCTCTCTCTCTCTCTCTCGGTCTCTCTTTCACTCTCTCGACTTCTTACTTTCTTAGTCTCTCTCTTTCTCTCTTTGTCCCTATCAGTCGCACTCTCTGGTTATCTCTCTTTACCTCACTCTACCTCATTATTTCTCTCTCTTTCTCTCCCAAGCTATTTCTCCCTCGATACACATTTCTCCACCTCTGTCGCAATGTCCTTCGCTCTTTCTCTCTCGATACATAATTTCTCTCTTCCTCTTTGTCTCTGTCTCTCTCTTCTTCACTCTCTCTCTCTCTCTCTTCTTCTCTCTCGTTCTTCCTCTCTCTCTATCCTTTGTCGTCTCTTTCGATTTATATATCTATATGTATATCTTTCGCCCTCTATCTCTCCCTCTCTCAATAACTCTCTGTCTGTATTTCTACATTTATTCTCTATCTCTTCCCCCTGTATTACTCTCTATGTATGCATCTCTCTTCATCTCACTCTATCTCTTTCTTTCTTTTCCACAGATTAAGCTCACAACGGAATAGCATACGGAATGAAGTATAATTATTGAGTCGCAGCTCTACGTCACTAGGGCGACATCGTCTATATATTATCTGATCGGGTTATAGGCGCAGTCGCTTGCCATACAAATCCATTTCCATATGGAGTCAAAAGGTTCTCTGGGTACGTAATCGTTGTGTCTTTTATTTCTAGTCCAAATATATACATATACATAGTCCATAAGTACTTAACTAACGATCTGATTTTTTAAAATAATTTCTATATATATATATAAACATTTCTTAAAACTTTTGCTGTTTTTTATTTATTTATTAATTTTTTCTGCAGCATTTACGTCAAAGCAAAATATAATTAAAAATACTGAATAAATAGAATATGAAAAGGGAAGCAGATAACCGAAAAGTGCCAGCTCACGCCCCCAGCACATATTTGCGCATGTGTGTGTGCGTCTATCTGAGAATCTTTGCGCGCATTTGTTTGCGCACTTTTTAACATTCGATTATGGACGGTCCTCCTTCTCTCTCCCTTTCCCTTTCTATCCCATGCTATCTATTTCTCCTTTGATGAAGTCTAGAATCGTACCTAATATATTATAATAACATCGCACTCCATAATATTTTGAAGTTTCCGCTCTTAGATAAAGCTAAGGAAACCAACTAAGACAACTCGAGCGGAAAGAGTTTTCGACTAGAAAATACCCTGCAGGTGATCACTAGAAAGAATACCCACATACATTTATAAAGCATGTATGCATTCTTTCTATAGACTACAGTAATTTAGTGTTGATACTCGAAATAGCTGAAATGCAAATGCATTATCATCATTGACAACATATTATTTTAATTTGATTGACCTATAAGGCTAACGTCATCTGGTATTTATACAGCATACTTAAGACACAATACTTTTGATTTATCACAAAAATTTTGGATTCCAGGAATCTCGGGATACAGATGATTCCATGAAAATTCTTCCCGATTTGGGTATTCTACAGGGCATGCCTATGTATAAATGAAGTAAATCATAATTGATAAGCAAATAACTTGCAAGTGACACTGGCGCACATGATCAGTGATCAGTTGGTTTTGGCATTATCAGCGCCTGACGATGGCGATGACGACGACGATGACAATGTACGCCAATGTTGCCAGATCACTCGCAGAGCCGTTGCGATATACCTATGTACGTAGATTTCAGCAAGTCATCTGATAGAGGAAATCTCTCTGATTTAACTGCGCACACACACAAATACATATATATATATGTATATACATAGTTTAATAGATACTTGTCTCTAGACCCTCTTAAATACATCCTTTTGTATTGATCTCTTTATTAGGATGCTGCTATATAGATCTCCTTAAATAAATCGTCTTATAGAGAAGATCGTTATATAGATGTATAGATCATTTGATATAAAAGGATATATATAAAGTAGCTTAATACATTAGTAATCCACATACAATAATCTGAATAAGATAATATATATAAAAGTATCCTTTTAAGATAATCAATTGAAGGTATCCAAATAAGTGAATCTATTTAGCCTATTTACAAGCACTTATATTAAATTATCATCATATGTGAAATGTGTTTACATTGGAGCATCTGAGATAACGATTCTCTTTGCATTTAGATTCATATAAAACTGATTTTCTTAACGAAACCTACATATGTACATATGTATATTAAAGGATCTATAGAACATAAAAAATATATACATACATACACAATGAAACAATATATGGATTCAGGCGTAAACCGAAATAATTATAGTTTATATGGCATGGAGATATATGTATATACATAGTATATACATATATTATACAGTTAATATTTGCACTGCACTTTAGATGCCATGATATGCTCACCTTTCCTATGTACTAAAAATATATGCATTTATATATAGTTTAAATACATATATAATATGTGTTTGTTTGTGCCGATAGATTCTGTGTTTTTGTCTGGCATTTTTATGGTACCCGAAATTCGTGGGCGCTTTGTGATTTATTTGCTTACGTATTATTTCTCAGCTTTTTTTTTACTCACATTTTCTATTTATTTCATTTGTATGCTTCTTCGTGGTGGGCTGTTTTTTGTTGGGACTAATGCTTTTTTTTTTTTTTTTGTTATAAAAAATCAAACAAAAATGCTCTCAAGGTCGAGCAGCCCCTTGGCTTTTCATGTTCACTGTCGAGCTTTGGCTTTGGCATTCAAAAATAGATAATAAGACAAGAACCGTGCGCTTGTTTACCAGCTGTCCCGACTATCTCTCTAATTGATATTTTCACATTCCCCAAAAACAAATAAACGAGTAAAGAAGAAAAAAGAGAACTATTCGCTGTTATTTTGCTTTTGCTTTCTACGGAAATTTCGCAGAGTTTTCAAGGCTAATGGCAAAGAAAATAGAAACCAATTCATTAACCCGGCAATTGTCAGAGCGAGCGATACGTTGGCTATTTGGAATCGATAATCTTTCAGATCCATATGTACGTACATACATACATATATGTATATATGTGTATATGTATGTATATACACTACATTTGGTTATCAGAGCCCGGCGATTTTATTTTATGATGAAATCAAAATTTTATGATCTTTAAATTGCCATCTTTATGGACTTGTTCGCGCTTCAATCACGTGTAAACATACATACATACATGCATATACATGTATATTACTATATGCACACTCGACATATGTACATATGTGAGCTAAGATCGTATATACTATATAGACATACATATTTATATATAGAGTGTAATTTGACGAGCTTTGCAAGTGGGAAATTTAGCTACACGTGTGTCACCTGGGGGCAACAGCAGCGAGCATAGCAAAGTGCTTACGTACTGTCTATACCCTGGCATATATGTGTATAATAAATAAGGTATATATGCATTAAATATATTGGCTTATATATAAATAATAATATTAATGATAATGCTAATATCAATAACACATTATTTATAAATAGCTTTGTAAAAATTCCTTATATATAGCATTTATTTGTTTATGACAATTTTAGAGAGATTCATCGAAAATCAGCCGATCATTGCAATAGTGCCGGTTGAAAAAGGTCGAAATTAATAGCTCTGGCCCTTGTTTTCGCACTCAACTAATGCAAATCAAAACACAAAATATCGATGATCGATGCAGGTGCGAGTATATTATAGTTGAGCTTCATGTTAGTTGTTTTGCACCGGCATACACACACACACACACATACATACAGAGAATTGCGCGTGGCACCTGAAAACCCTAAAAACAATACCAGAATCTGCTCAGCTAACAAAGTAGTCGATCAACCGGCCACAAATAACTGAACATACATACAATTTGCGTACAAGCATATGTACATGCATACATACATACATATGCATGTATCCGATACCTGTTCGCCTGCTGTAAAGCTAGCGCGCTCTTTCATTTGCGTTGCCCACTCTTTACAGCTACAGCAACAACAACACACAGCAATTTTTTCGCGTGTGTCGCGCTCTTCGCATCATCTACACCCGTCGCACACTTGCCTTGCGCTCCTTGCTTTACTTGCTCATGCCGAGCATGTACATGTACATACATATATACCGTACGTATGTTTATATTTATTATCTTCTTCTTTTATCGCAGAGAGGCACATCACAGACGAGCCCAGAAAATTGGCCAATCAGCGTGCGTTCTTAGCGATCGCGCCCTCTATCGCACAATTAAGCGGGCTGCGGGGGGGCCGTTGGCACAACTTGCTGTCAGCCTCTTGTAAATGTTTTCATTTAATTGACTTGTTTTTGTTGTTCGCTGTACGAAACGACAATTATGTTAGAAAACAAGTTGAAATTTGTTTTAATTAAAATTACAGCATTGAGAGCAGCCTTGCAGCTGTAAATTCGTACATTTATTACGCATACGCACAGTTGAGCAAAATCCAATTCGATGCAAATTGAGATACAAAATTGAAATTCAATGGCAATGCAGATAAGGCGCAAGGGCTATTATAAATAGTACACCAAGAAGCAACGATATTAAGATGATTAAACATTAACTGATTCCCAAATATAGAAAAAAAAAGCCCAATTTTTTAACTAGTTGATAGCAATTGCCATAACAATGCTCGTTCGATAGTTTTTGTTTGCTCTCAGTAATTTTGGGGGCCTGTTCGGTTGCTAAGCTCCCATTGTGGCATACAATAAAAGAAATTAATTTTAATCAAAACCGGTTTACAATCAACCCAAGCCGGCTGGAGCAAACTCAATATGCAAATATCATTTCCAAAATCCCAAAGCAACAACAATACGGTTATAACATGAAGCCATATAAATATATGTACATATTTATATATATGTACATATTTGCAACTTGCTCACCTGTTGCTGGGCCTGAAAGCAAATCAAGAAAAAGTTTATCTGCAGAGCTTCAGCAACTGCGAGTAGTCTCTCTTATCTGTGCGTTATCAAGGTCGTTGTCAGTATTAAAAATAAGTACAGTAGAACCCAACTAGTGAGAACAAATATTCGTGTCTGTCTACCTGTCCCAATTACTGGAATATCAGAAATAAGATTTAAGTAAACATTTGTAATATTTAATAGTAGACAAATTTAAAATATTTATATAAACTTTAAACCAATAAATCTTTTTATTCAAAAGTATCTTTAAAAAAAATTAAGTTATTACATTGAATAAGTGGTATTATGAAACAACATATTGAAAATAAATAATATTATGATATAAATTTATTAAAATGTTTTTGGTCTTTATTTAAAAAGAAAAAATTTATATAAACATTTTAAAATTGTAATAATTTTTATGCGTTTTACAGTAACGGCTGAGCCTCTCCGCTAAGGGAGGCTTTACTATACACATTTTTTGTTAATAAGCTGCACATTCTTTAATGGCTATATTATATTTCGTTTTGCTTTCACTTCGTTTCGCGCAAACCAATTTTTCATTATCAATGTCATGAGAATTGATAAGAGCTCTTCAGTCATTGTTAGAGATAGCCGTTTCATTAATGGATATATATGTACATACATATGCGTATGTATGTATATGATTTAAATATGTGCATACAGTTGAGATACGCCCATACCTGTGCAGATAAGACTTTCAAATGAGCTGCGCTGATTTATATTTATATTTGCTATACGTATAAACGTTATAAATTAAACTGTATACATTTGCTTGCCGCTAAATACAGATAACAATATCATTTTTTCACTTATAAAATATCTACAAGCTTTGAAGTTTCTTAAAAATCCGTTACATTCAAGCTGCTCACATATTTAGAGAGATGAGCATCGATAGCTTTGACAGCAATCATCGAATTGAACTAATATATATCGAAGGACAAGAAAATGTAATCGATACCATAAAGCGCTGATAACGTTTTCAAATGGGATGCGACGGTTACAGACTTGTTTAACTCAGTCTAATCTTTTTTAATTAGTTAGCAACTGTTGGGCGCTTATCATAAACATAAGTATATTTGCATAGGCATATGTATAGAATTATATATATATTTATATATAAATAGGGCGTGGCATGGCGTGTTGCTAGCTAGCCGGCCACAGACAGTTATCAGCAAACGTGCGCGTTTCATCTGCGTCATTCACTTACACATCTAAAGCTGTGAAAAAGGTTCCTTAGCTGATTGCTGAATTGCCAAACAAGAATTTAATTGCCAAAGATCAATTTTTTTTTTTTTTTTTGGCAAAGGCGGTCATTGTGCTCAATTCATCAGCATCAATTAAGGCGTCTGGGCGTATCATGAGGAACCGGTTGCAATTGCATCAAACAAATCTCGAAAGTTGTAGACCGACTTTTTGATCGATTAGTTAACAGACAGGCAGACAGCCGGACAGACATACACGAACAGAAAGACAGCGCGAAACAATGTACTTACTAACTCTTGCGTATATACAATATATACATATCTGAATTTATTAAAGAATAAGATAGATAAATAGAGGCATTAAAGGCAATAAACTAAAGTATTAACTAAGTTAAGCCTGTTGCGTCTTCAAGATTTTCACAGACGGGGCGGCTGGTGATGGCATATGTGTGGAAGGCGAATGTTTCACCTTTGATGTGAATACATCATAGCCAAGACTAATGACATTATCGTAGAAAATGCGATAATGCGTGGGTATCCAATAGAAGTTAACAAATTGTGCCACCGGCCAAACGGTCCATTCAGCTGCATACAGCTTCCAGGCCTTTTCCTTGATCTCCTCCCACACCTCGTGCGCCTCTTTCTTTTCCAGTATGCCAAGTGTCACAAAGAACGCTGAGATGTACAATGGTGAGCATATCAATTGATCCAGCACAATCTTTTTGGCCACCACACGCATACTTCTGCCCGGGAGGTACTTGTCCAGCAGCTGATACCAATAATGGCAAATAATGCCAACAGCCACGCCGCTGGTTGCCATGTGACGAGTACGTATACTGCTGAATTCCTCAATCTCTTTGTTGTACAGCTCCAGCTGCTGTTCGAGTATATCGCCCAAGGAGCTGAGCGTTAACGAGATGCCCACATTGGTGAAAAGCAAAAACTTATTGCTGAACGCATTGCGATGCCATTCACGCATCTTTTGGAGCGCTGCAGTCCGGCTAGCGCCAACACTAGCGCCAGATCCAGCGCCGGTTGTCGCATGACGATATATGGTATATTTACCGAGGGTGAGCAGTATGCGCAGTTTTCGACGCGGGAATTGCATATTTTTCTTATCTTTTTTCCTTTTTTATACCGTTATATACAATTTGTAATCAACAGCAAAATTGCTTGAAGTCTGAAATTTAGCATGGTCTCCTCAAACGCTATTAGTCTTTGGATTCCATATTGTTAGGAGTGGGGGCCAAGAAAGTTGTTTTCTATTTTTGAATTTTGTAAAAACGTTTGCACATCATACTCGATTTTTTGACAATACAATTTATTTACAAAATTATTTTGGAGCAGCGTGTGCTGGCTGCCGCTTACAGCAACAACAAGAACAGCAGCATCAACAATTGCACAATCACGTGTAGTGAACAGCTGTTTACCAGGGCTGCAAAAATACCAGCACAATCGAGTGTGGTAGCTATACGATGGCATAATCAATTATAATCGATCAGCACCATGAACAGCTTTTAAACAATTTAAAGGCTTAGTTATAAATTCGCTGCCTAATTTTAAGTGCACCTAATCTTAAATTTACCCTCTAAAATTTGGCTTTAAAGAATCAGCTATCATTCCGCTATCGATACTTATATGCGATAGTTGTGCGTCAGCCCTAGCAAGCGTTGCATTGTTATTGCTACGCTGTTTCTTTATTTTCCTTTTTTTGGATTTTTATTGTCAGGCGTCGCAATTAGAGTGTTGTAGTCTAAGCCACAGCTAACGACGGTTTATTGTGCTACAGCACCTGCCCACTTTAGCATTTATATTGGTATTTTGTGCGTTCGGCGCAGAATAGGTCAAACAGCTGTAAGTTTTGCATTTAGCAAAATATAACAAACAAAAAGAAAGATTGCACATTAACAAAATATTTATCAATAACTCATTTAGTGTAACAACAATTTCTACACACAGCATCAACAAACAAAGAAACGTACGCACATACACACACACTCACACACACAGAGACTGTGTTATTAAAGACAGGTAAACGAGCAATTTGTCAAAGGCAAATTATGGGTCGCATCTTTCTGGAGCATTTGGGTGGTCTAAAGCTCTTCAATTGCGCCCAATGTCATACGAACTTAACGAATCGCAGCCAATTGATTAGCACACGATTCACAGGCGCCACAGGTAGGAGTTGCAATCACATCCTTATACTTACTTGCTCCCCCTGTAATATTTTATACTTCTATAATTCTGCAGGTCGCGCTTATTTATTCAAGCGCGTCGTCAACCTGACTTTCAGTGCCATTCAGGAGCGCGTGATGCTGACTGGACGGCATATGGTGCGCGATGTAATGTGCAAGAATTGCGGCGCAAAGCTTGGCTGGATGTATGAGTTTGCCACCGAAGAGACGCAAAAGTAAAATCCATCAAATTTAGTCCGCTATTACCTTGTTTTGCTGATCGTGTATGTTGTCTCTTTGACAGGTATAAAGAGGGCCGCGTCATTCTTGAATATGCTCTAATCAATGAGGCAGAGGGCTTTCCATCCGAGGCAGGCGGCACCAGTCACTGAACAAATGAGTCTAGCTGAATAGCTCAACAGGATACAATACATTTGTGTAGCCTTTAAGTATTTAATTTAGCCGACAGGCGTTGGCTTCATATATACATATATAACTATATATGTATGAATATAAGAATGTAGGTTAAATGATTTAAAAAAGATCATATCATAGATCGGCATAAATCAGTAGTGGAACATGAAGCCCCTGTCAGCTTTACTTAAACCTAGATTAAAGGCACTAGCATATTAAGCTTTTGCCGCACATTTATAAATAAATTATGTTAAGAGGCTGAAATGATAAATCAAAACAACAGCAAAAAACAAATCTCGCAGCCCTTGTCTATCCCTATATTCCTTCATTCGCTCTCCTTTCATTTTTGTTTTATAACATAAGAAACATTCGCTGTGTCTTTTAACTCTTTACATGATTAAATAAAATAACAGATCTCTTATCTCTTATCTATATATAAATCAACAAGAAAACCAAATTCCCCAAATTCGCTTAAAGATTACAAGGGAGGGAGAGAGAAAACATGTATTGAATGTGTGTATAAGAGCAGAACAGATATACATAGATGAATATGTTGTCCTCAGCTGAACAAATAAATACCAGTTATTAAGAGTTAACTTTTTGAAGAGGACCCGAAAGAGTTTCTCTGAATCCAATTTTGTGTTTTCATTTTTTGTATTTATTTAATTGCTAGTTGCTAGGGGTCATACAAATGCAAAATAAAAATGCATTTGTGCTATTTTAGCTCTGGGCTGGTATTTCATTTGTTGTTAACTCAACTACTTAGTAACTCGAACTGTGCAGTTTCCTCATGATTCTTCCTCTATAGTTTATTGGTTTTTTGTGCCATGGCTAAGGCATTTTCGTTGGCAATCATTTGGAATTCTTGGAAGCGCTGGGAGACACGTTGATTCATCTTCAAATATTTTTCCATACAATTCAGTGAACATTTCTCCTATAAAATCAGAAACGCTTTAGCTCCTTTGATCCATTGGGCGTTAGATTTAATTGACTCACCTCAGAGTCCTTGACATCGCGGGATGTGAAATCGCGCACACAATCCGTAAAGCACATTTCGGATAGTTTGTTGTACGACATCAGAAAATCTGAAAACTATATATATGCATATACATACATATATGCATATGCACGTTGTTCAGTTACAGGTCAACAAATCAGATTCAAGCGGGCGGCTAGTTCGATTGCACATTGCATCACATTGGCAGCATGTTTATCAATCAAATGCAGATGGTTACTCACTGTTTTCATTTGATCCTTGTCCAGCTGATCTAAAGACACAGTTTCGGGGCTTTTAGCCATTTTGTACTCTGTTGTTTTATTTAAGTTTTTTGTGAGAAATCAACGAAATGTTGAGCGATTAAATAATAGCAGTGAGAGAGCTCAGCTGTGCGGCACTGTCACATCAGCAGGGTTGCTGTCAAATCGATAATATCCTGCTATCGTTCTCTTCCTAGTCTACGATACATCGATAGAAAGTTGGCTGCCATCTTGAAATTGTATTTTTTTTACCACAATCACAAATTAATTTTCTCTCTACGTAAGCGTGGTTGTGCTTGCCTGCTGTCTGGGAAAAAAGAATATATATAGTACATATATAAATTGTGTATACCTACCGACGCAATTAAGAGCTGGCATATAGAAATTTGCATAAAAGTTTAACAATATTAACATATAAGTAAATATACACTATGCCCCGCTATCGTGAATGGGACTTGGCCTGCAAAGTCTACGTAGGCAATCTTGGCTCCTCGGCCTCCAAATATGAGATTGAGAACGCGTTCAGTAAATATGGACCCCTGCGTAATGTGTGGGTAGCACGCAATCCTCCTGGCTTCGCCTTCGTCGAATTCGAGGATCGTCGCGATGCAGAGGATGCGACAAGGGGACTCGATGGCACACGCTGCTGTGGCACACGCATACGCGTCGAAATGTCTTCTGGCCGTTCACGCGAAGGACGCGGCGGTGGAGGCGGCGGTGGCCGCCGCGGCGGACGCAGTGGCAGTGGAGGTGGCGGCGGTGCAGCTGCTCGTGCTGGTGACGCTGGCGGACGTTATAGGTGAGTACAATCCCATTTCTTCCCCTTGCATCTCTATATATTTATGTATATATAAGTGTACATTTAAGACTCTTTGTATATACCATGTATATACGTATATATTTATTTGTGTTGCGCATTGCATATGAGTTGGCGAAAAAACAGAAAAGTATGAAAAATCGATTTGGGGCAAGCAAAAAAAAAAAACGTAAATGAAAACGGGCCCGCGCCAATGTGCGTATACATACAAGAAATATTGCAGTACCGGTTGTAAAAGTGAGCACAGCGCACACATGAATACACATACACACGGCATACACACACACACACACGCACACTCATACATAGACAGATTTACAGTGTCGTGCGCATCAATTGTGTGCACCACGCGAGAGTTTCGAAAGTCCGAATATCAATAATCGATAGACCAGGGTTGGTGGATGCTCAGCTTAAGCCGATAGCTAGTTTGCCCTACGTTTAAATCCTTTAAGTACTTGATTGAAGGTTTCATTGACACCCGTTTGACCCGTTTGCCCGCTTGTTATTTAAATGCGGCCTCGCCGTTGTACAAAGATTTGTTGTGTTTTAGTGAAAAACTTAAGAGTATCGCATATAATTAATTTAAATTAAACAAGTAAACCAGTAAAAATAGAACAAACAAATTAAAAACAATTCATCAACGATTGAGGCTCAGTTTTAATGTGGTTTCACAATCATTTTGCAGGATAAAGTCTACTTCTACTACAAGCACAACAAGAACAACAACAACAGCTACTACTACTACTACTACTAGAACTTCTACTACTCCTCCTCTTCCTTCAACAAGTACAACTACTACAACAACCAGAACAACTTCACGTCTCATAACTACAACAACAACAAGAACAACAGCTCCTGCTCCTCCTCTTACACACATTTCACCAACACCAACAACTACAACAACAACAACAACACGCCCAACCAAATTGTGCAGCTTTATGATAATTGTCGATTTCAACAAATACGATATATTCCGCTGACTGCAAAAAATAACAAGCAAAACAACAATACCACCAACAACAACAATAACTGCAACAGCGACTGCAACACATCACAACAATATCAACAAGAACACATGCTCCTCTTCGCAAGCTCTCTACAAAATCTTAGTACTTAACGTACGCATCTATTTGTCAGCTGAAGGGGCAGTCCAATCACCATCTACCATCAGCAGCAACAGCTACAATCTGCATCAGCATCAACTGCGATACCACACCACACAACACAACATAATTCATTCACACAACTCTCCATATCTCTTTCTCTATCTATCGCTCTTTCTCTCTCTAACTCGTCACACGCACACAAACAAGAACATAAACAATATTCTCTCACATTCACAAACACACACACAAATCAGCATATGCGACGTGCCAGCAAAGCGCAGCGGTGGGGCTAGTCAATCAGTCGGTCAATCAAACGATCAATCAACGGCTTTTGACTGCAGCTGTCGTCGCAATTTCACCAATAAGTAACAACAGCAACAATCTTCATAGCTCATCAAAAAATGCTTCTACTTTCATACCAACAAGAACAACAACGACTTATGCTCTCTCACATATATTATATTAACAACACTTATCAACAACACCACCACCACCACAACCAACAACTACAACAACAGCAACCAACCAACCAACAACAACAACAAGCAAGTGCAACTACTGACCCAGCCAGCAATCAAATCTAACTCCAATTACACCAACAACCAATCAATCAACCAACCAACCAACCAGTCAATCAGCCAATCAATCAACCAGTCAGCCAATCAATCAATCAACGCTTTGCAACAGCCAACAACCGTAGACAACAACTCTAGACTCAACTTCAACTTGCAGTCCTACACGCGTCTTCTGCAACGCCTCTCAGCCTCAACGGGTCTGCTTCTGTCCCCCACAATATATCTGTATATATAGAGTGTATATATATTTGTTGATTAATGAATATATATATTTGTATATATATATGTAAGAATCATCTTATGCTCATCTAGAAGCCAGCCTGCCACCAACAACAGCTACAACAGCCAACCAACAAGTACAACAACAACAACTTCAAGAACAACCAACCAACAAGTACTACAACAACAACAACAGCTACTTCAACAATATGCTACAGCTTAGGGCGGGCTCTCTTTTTGTTAATCATCTTTAATTTAATTTGTTGTTGCTCTAGTTCCGTAGCTCATTTCAGTTCTTGCACCCCTACCGGGTTGGCCATACCCCCCACCCCCCATATACCTTCCATCCCCTACAAATTAAAAAGCAAATACCTGCGCCGAGCATCTCTGCATCACAGAAAAAAATGTCTATGAATCTTCAAATTCAGCTGCGCTGCGCTTCTTCACAACTTCAGCTTCAACTGCAACTGCAACAACTCCTCCTGCAACAACAACAACTACAACAACCACCAATAATCACCAACTACAAGAACAACAACAACCACCAACCACCACCTCCGAATTATCACGTAAAGCAACTACCAAAAATTAAAAAAAAAAAAAAGCAAATATTCAAAGATCTAAAAAAAAAGCGTATGTAAAATTGCTACAAAACAAATTCTTTTAGCTAAAAGAAATGCTATCAAATTTTAACTTTTCGTTTCTTTTAGAACTTTTTTTGTTGCTAACATTGCTGTATAATACCCTTGCTGCAACGAGTAGAATGCATTTGCTAAGCTGATTTGTGACCTGATGTCCTTCCGTGCGTTCAACATTTCCGCTTCTGGCCTATATGAACTCATCATCCAGTGAATCAATCTTAATGAAACTTGGCATAGATGCTGCTAATTGCTGCAGTCAGCATATATGTTAAAGTTGGTTGGATCGTATCACTATATCATCAGTCTAATGAGGAGGCGATGAGTGGGCTAACCCGAACAGTGTGTGCCCAAATAGCTAGTCTTTATATAGTATCGCTACAGTGAATGCTCGCATATTGGAATGCTATGATTTGTAATTCCTTAAATTTCACGAGTCTAATTGTAAATTCTAATTCGAATTAGTTCCAATTGTTGTGTGTTCACTGTATGCAGCGTCTTTGAGCATTTGCGGATGTCAGCTGTCAGCAAAGGTATTTAGACTTCGGCTATGCCGTTGCTAACAGTATTTTCTTTCGTTTTCTTTACATTTTGGATCGTTTATCGTTATTGTTTATATTGTTTGTTTGTGTACATTGTTGTTGTTCCTCAACACGCATACACACACACACACACACACACACATGCGCGAATGCAGTAACAAATGTGAAGAAACTTACCTCAGGCTACCCCCCTTTTTCTCGGCTCCTCTCTTGAATTTGTGTATGTGCGTGCGTGTGTGTGTGTGTATTTGTGTAAGCAACAACTGCAGCAGCAGTAATTAGAGCATCAATACACTTGCGCACCTATTACAGTAACAACAATCGAGTGTTGCAACTACAGCTACAACAGCAACAACATCAACATCATCAACCAGAACAACAACAGCAACTAGTACAACATTCTTCTCTCAGTCTGCTATGCTCATCCAACATTGAACTCACCCAACACCAACCACCACCACAGCTACTACAACGTTAATGTATGTTGTTTGTTTTAGTTTTTGGTTATGTTATTTTCTTACCACCGTAAGAGGAAAAGAGACCGACCAGCCAAATGCCCCCCTGCCAAAAGTAGCATTCTCTCTTTTTCTCTCCCTCTCTCTCTCTCTCTATGAATATATATATGTGTATGTGTATATGTATATGCATCTCTCTCAGCTCAGCTCAGCTCCACGCAGCGCCACAGCCAACAGACAAACTGCGAGAGCATCACGAAAACCAACCACCAAGACCAACCAACCAACCAACCGACCAATCAACCACCAACTCCTCTCAGAGCTTCTCCATAGAATATCAGTAAAAAAATAAAAACAACAAAAATTAATTGACAACAAAACCACAAACTGAGAAATGGAGGCTCAGTATTGCAACATTGTTTATAAAATGAAATGAAAACCAAATACCAAATTTGATGTTTCAAATTGCTTGTTTAACAAAAGAAAACTATTTAATTTGTATTTTTCTCTCTCTTTCTCGCTCTTCTCTTTTCTCTCTCGCTCGCGCGCTCTCTGTCTCTCTCTCTCGCTCTCTGTATCTTATCACTCACTCTCACTCATGCGCTCCTGCCGTATGTCTGTCTGAAATCATATGAAATTCAATTAAAAAATAAATACATCGTATCCGTCATCCTGCCACAAATTGAACTCCATCCCATCCCATCCATTCCAATCACGCCCACCCACCACAAACACCAATCTACTTACAGGTCACGCTCGCCCAGACGCTCTCGCACCCGCAGTCGCAGCTTCTCACGTGATCGACGCAGCCGTTCGGACTCGAGGGATCGCCACTAGGTGAAGGTGCCAGCCAATCCAGCAACAACAGCAACAACATGCAGCAGCAACAAAACAACAACATTATGAACAGAGCAGTAGGAAACAGACACTCACACACACACACACATTGACACACATACATACGCACACACACACACACAGACACAAGTGTCCACTAAAGAATTGTCCTATCATAGTGAGTTTAATTTTTTTTTCGTTTTTATGTAAACATAGAATTGTGAGTATTCGACAACTACACTCAAAACAAAAATAATAAAAAATGGATTGATTAAGAACGAAAACAAAACAAAAAATACCAAATAAGCAAAAAGTTAAAAAATAAACAAAAAAAAGTAAAATAACAAAATATGAAATTAAAAATTATATTTAAATAAAATTCAAGAACCAGTTTGTTGCTGCGTATTTAGCTAGTAAGTGCATAGAGATTAAAGGGAGGCAACAAGTGAGAGACAAGTGCAACTGCAACTACACAAACACTCAAACACACACAAAACACTTGGCATACACCCACTTCGTCAACCACCACATGGAAGAGCGGAAGGTACGAGTATTTTGTGAATGTTTCTTTAAATCTATTATTTTCAAATACATAGATATATATCTATAATTTTTTTTTTTTGCCTAACCGACACATTGTAAAAATAAAAAAAAAATGAAGTGAATTAAGACGATTTAAGGTGAACATAATAAAAAGAAAGAAAAAACAAAAAAAAAAGATCAAATAAAAAAAGTGTAAGAAAAACATGTTTTTTAATTTAAATTTCAGTTTCAGTAATTGCTGAAAGTATATTTCAGACTTTCGAAAAACAGGTTTGTATTCCGGGGAGATTGTGGAATAAATAACAAAAATTTGGTATATTTCGATTTTGGAAATGATTTTTTGACAGTTGAACTTTATAGATAGGTAGGAGATATAGGTTGAGCAACCTTCAGTAAGCAGTCACAAAATATCAACCATGGAACTATGGAAATGGAACACTTGGTATACATATGAGGCGTAAGTCTAAGGCGTCACATTTTACTGAGCTTTCTAACCACTATATAAGCTCTTTAAAAGCCCATTGAAGCGATATCTAGCTACTATATAAGCTCTCCGAATTCCACTTCACAGACTTATATAAAGACCTGCATATGTCAATGTATTAGAACGATCTAGAAACTCTACATAGCATGGATTGTCAGCGCAACTAAACCAGCTGAAGGATTTTAGAATGCAATAGAATGGGGAATAAGTTTAGATTAAACTGAAAAATCCCGTAAACTATAAATTTGATAATGGATTGTGGACGATGATAGCATCATAGTGGATCAGCAATAAGCAAAACAGAGCGGAAAGTCAAAGTGTTTAAAGCAGTGAAATAGACTCTTTATATTTTATATACATATATTTTTAAGCAACTTAACTATTGATATATTGTAGATTGATTAATGAATATAGATGGTATTTGGGATTAAAGAGTATGTGCTATGACAATAAATCAGAGGCATATAATTCACAAATAGACATTGCATACTTTTTGGGTGCGATGAAATGCCCATCAAACCAATTTCGAATTCTGAATGCCAATTGTATTTGTATATCTGTATATATATATAATATTATTCATAATAATAATTGATCAACAATAACACAATAGATAACATTAAGTCGGGATAATTAGATGGTATATATGTACGTGATAATATCCACATCTGATTAATATATATGTATATATATATATTACTAACAATATCATATTGAATGCAACAAAGCAAACAATTGAACAAATATTATTGTCAAATTTTGTAATGTGCCTCAATTCTTAAAAAAAAAAAAGAACAACCATAAACATATGGCCAATATACATATGTATATATATGTGAGTATATATCTACATATAGATAAACATTTATCTCGAAATTCAAAAACGTATGTCAGCTTCACGATATTACATAAATTGGATTTGCTTTTCACTAAGTTTTATTACTCGTAAGTTTCAAATTAAAAAAAAAAAAAATTCTGGGTTCTGACTCGAGTGTACGCAATCTACTTATACTTCTTCATGAACTCGGCATGGAATACGCGGAATTTCTCCATCATCTCCTTCAATACGTTAGTCTGTGGTAAAATGGTGCTACGGAAGTGATAGGTGCCGGGCAACTGGCCAAATCCGCTGCCAGGCACAATGCAAATACCTGCCCAGAGAGAGAGAGAGATAGAGAGATGGGTTATATGGAGCTCTTCTATGTTATATTCCATTGGGGATTACTCACCTGTCGTCTCGAGCAGCTCGAATGCGTAGAAGACATCCGGCAGCAAGTTCTTAGCCTTGGCCGCCTCGACCGCCTTGGGCGGTATCTCAATCTTGGGGAACACATACATGGCGCCCTGCACCGGATTCACCGTGTAGCCTTCGAAGCTGCTCAGCGTCTTGTAGACCAATTCGGCACGCTCATTGAGCGCATTCAATACCTCGGATTTCTCCTTTTCGTAGAGCCCATACGATGGCTCGCCGGGAGTGGGCGGATTCACGAGAGCACTGATTGCCACCTGACCGGCGGTGGTGCTGCAGAGTTGGGCCGTAATCGATTTGGTGAGCACCGCCTTGACCTCGGGGCACAAGTTCAGCACCTCCATGTAGCCGCCGCGTATACCGCACTCGCCGAGGTAGCCCTTCGAAACGGACATGAAGCTGACCAACTCCTGCTGGCGATGCGGTCCGCCCATCTCGTTCATGACCTGCTTGAACGAGTAGAACTTGGAGTTCTTGTCGTACACGTTCGCCTGGTACACCTCATCGGCCAGGATCACCAGCTTGTTTTCGTATGCAAACTTGATAATCTCGACGATATTCTCGCGGGTGAGCACCTGTCCGGTGGGATTGCCCGGATTGATGACAACCAGCACACGCGGACTGCACTTCTTCTTCGATTCCTCGTACGCTCGCTGCAGCTCCTTGCGATCGAGTCCCCAGCATCTGTCCTCGTCCAGGAAATAATCCACACGGCACATACCCAGCTCTGTGATGGTCGCCGAGTACAGTGGATACTGTGGTATGGGCACCATAATGCCCGGCGGCACACCATCAATCGGGCAGCTGTGTTCAATAAAAGAAGTTGATTACGGTTATATCTGTTTGCAAAAGATATAGTTCTTATTGAGATGATAGAACTAGTTCACTGGTTCCAAAAGCGTGAACTAAAAGCCAAGGTTGATTAACAGATTGTTCATAATACTTGAACAATGTTAAAGAAATCCAAAATAAATTATTCTTAAGGTTTATCTCACTCTACATAATTGAAATGGTTTAAGAGCAAGTTCATTTAGAGGCTATCAAAGAACTAGTTCAAAGTTAGTTATTACAAATATTAGATGACGCTTTCTATAGTCAAAAAGTAACTGTGATAAGCAACGGTTTGTAAGCCCATCTATTGCCTTTTGAATCAAAAGAACTAGTTCATTTCAGTTCAAAACTGACTAACAGCTAGAATTCGCTTTATAAACTATTAAAAACTTCTTCAATAAACTATGCTAAGCCATCTAAATCCTATAACAGTCAGTTTGTTAGCAATTGAACTAGTTCCAGTTCCATTCCATACTCACTTGAGCAGTGCCAGAATGCTCTTAATGCCCGGCGACGCACCACCGGTCAAATAAATATTCTGATAATCGGCGGGCACGCCATTGTCTCGCTTCTCTATAAAGGCGGCGACCTGGCGACGAACAAACTCCAAGCCAGCTGAATCGGTATAGGAACCCATCGAACCGCCCGCACAGGCGGCGAGCAAATCACAAGCGCGCTTCTTGATGTCGTCCGGATATTCGGGGGAGTTCAACAGACGCGGCTCCATGGTCAAAGCCATCAGCTATAGCAAAGCAAAGCGAGTGATTACTGTACTGTCTAGAGGCTCATATATAGCTAGCTCTTTCACTTACCTGCCTTAAGTAGGTCAAAGGCTTTTGGCCCATCGCATGGCAATCGCCAATGTTGGCCCGGATGACCCGGTCGAATGGCTTCTGAACACCCTGCAAGCGCAAGAAATAAAATAGAGAATATAATAATTAAATAACTAAATAATAATTGATATGTATTAACATGATTAGAGCCAAGTCTCCCGAGTGGAACGAGGCTCTAATGTGATTTTAATGCGCCGTCGTGCGAATCGAATATGTTAATCAAGATATGCAGTTTTGTTTTTCCCCCTCTATTTCGACTCGCTCTGTTTTGGCCAAATTAGTTGGCTCATTAGGAAAGGCGGCAATCAAACAATCACGGCTAATCACAATTTCGTATTCAATTAAATCTAATAGCCAAAACTAGCTCGACCATCAAATTATACATAATTATGGCAACGAAGCGAACTAGTTCCGACGTGTGAATCATAATTCAATAAAGCGAAACTTGAGCCTCATGGGAGTGTGTGAGAGAGAGATAGGCGTGAGTGAGAAAGTAAGAATATTGCTAATAGTTGCTATAAAAGAAACTTTCAGATTTATTTAATGGAGCTTTTTACTATAAACATTATTCTATGCCCACTTTTGCTATAAAACGAGCTTAAATTTGATCTAAAGAAAATTGCAGTCAAGTTCTTGATATAAAATGAAGAAGTAGAAGAATGCCATAATAAACATTTGCCATAAAGTCGAATGTGAATGCATTCTTTACCATAAACTGAAATTTAAAGACCAGCCTTGTTCGAATCTCTTTGCTTATGAATTTCAATTACTTCCTGCTATAAAGAGTAGTCAGCTAATAAACTCTCTTGAATTTTGTGAGCGAGCATATATATAATTTAGTTCATTTACTAAAGTGAAGTAAAACCCATATACCTCTTAATTGAATGGGAGACTTAATTGGCTTTTGAAATGTAAACTGGAGAGAGAAGGGAAGAGAGGGAGAGGCAGATGGGCTGGCCGAAGGCGTCAAGTAGTTGACAATGCAAGTAAGTGCATATACTAAATATAGTATAGTATATATACTATATAGCATGTATGTGTGTATGTGTGCATGCCAATAAGTAATTCGAGTGCAAGTGGGGGGGGGGGGGGCTTACAGCACCCAAACGAAGCGGGTCGCCACAGCGGGCAGGGACTAGGGTTGGGGTTGTTGCTGTACAGCAGTTCGTATGAGTAATTTATCATTTGAATGAAAAATACAAGCAGAACTGGGCAGAGAACAGAATGCCTGGCAAATCACGAACCACAAATTAAGTCATGCATACACATACATACACACACACTTGCACGCACACACATAGTTGCAATAACTGCACAAATGCAACAACAAGTGTGGAAAGAGTGTAAGGCCAATGATGGGCAATGTAACGCCCGCAAGCACCACAATAGAAATTAACAGAATGTTAGCGAAGTTAACAACAGCCAGAAAGAGAGTGAGAGAGAGATAGAGAGATGTAGTGAGTGAGAAATGCCTGCTAAGTCGACTTTTGTATACCCTCCCTTATAGACTGTATGCATTTGAGTTATAGTATTACGATTTTGATAAGACTTTGCTTTAAAGTATTTCTGAAAAACATTCAAGTAAACAATATAGTCTATATAATTTTAGCTTTTATTTATCAAATTTAATGTTTTGTTTTTTTTAATTTATATATATGCATGTTTGTGACTGTCTCTCAAGACGTATGCTTTATTTTTATATATGTATATATATAAAAATCTAGTGATATAAACAACAATTCAATTCATTAACCCATGAATACCCAAGATTTTGATCCTAAGAAATTTTATATTCTAAGAGTGCTTGTATGATATGATGAATGAATAATATATTTACATATATGTACATATGTATGTATATATGTTATAAAATTACATTTACCACTTAGAGCATTAATATTAATGAATTGATTTCAAGCTCATTCTAAATGACACTAATATACATACATACTATATACACATGTACATATGTATGTATATTTCAATTTGTTAATTCTGTACTTAAGATTGCAAAAAAACATTTCCATCAACTGCCTGTTTTTATACTACATACAAACATATCTCTTAGCCAAACAATAAAGGTGTGTACAGTTGCATAGAGACCTACATGCGTGTGTGTGTGTATGAGTGCTCCGCACTTAGTTCAATTTGTTAACGTTCATTCGCTAATATGGCAATCGAGGCATTTATCGCTGTTCGAAGCAAAGCAAATCAGCAAAAGAGGGCAGCCGGAGATCGAAGAGAGCGAAACTGACAGAGTAATTGAGAGATAGTGAGCGTGGGCTGTGGGTCAAATCAAAGTCAATAAGCTGAACCCAATAAAAAGCTAATATCAAATTTAATGAGCGAAAAACTAATATGGGATTACTCTAAGCACATATTTATACGCAAACTTTTAAAACAAATTTACAGCGCATTAACACTACGCAGAAAGCCAAAGCGCATCAATCCAACATTGTGTTGCCTAAAAACAACTGTAAAGCTCACTTGCATACATATATCAATAACAGACAGAAGAAGATTTACAGCTTAACAGAGTAACATTATGTTAATATATTACAGCAATACTTCATTCCATACATTTTTGGCGGCTTGTCTTATCTGCAACTACGCTTCATTTCAACATTCAAAATAAATCCAATAGATTGACGCTACGCACATACATACATACATATGTACATGCCTTTATAAGAGATCAAAAGTTTACGTATGTATGTATGTACATATACATGTATGTAGCCATGCCTCCCTATACATGTACATATGTATGTATGTGTGTGTATTATAACAATGTCAAGTATTTTCTATTGACAGACGCTTGGATTGCCTATTTGGCAAGTTGTCAAATTGTTGGAAGTGCGTGTTTATCATAAGCAGCGCAGAGCCGGCTGAACGAGTTTGATAAAACGCAAAAGCAAAAACAACAACAGGAGATGCCACCGTTTAGAAGAGAAATAAAATTATGCATGAAAGAGCAAGTGATGCGAATGAGGAAGTGAGCCAAGTGGCTGTAAAGGAAGGGGAAGGAGAGGAATAGTATCAACAGTAGAGAGAAGCAGCAACAGTAGAGAGCAGCAACAGCACACAGAACAAAATGTAAAAAGTTGAAATGAGAAAGAACGTAAGCTAAACAATGGAAGACATGATGACTTACAGACACACACGCACATACATATGTACATACATTTAATTACGTTCATGTAGGCACATACGTACATATGCATGTATGCATTGACTGCTGCAGTTTAGCGTGCACAACGGTACATGTTGGTGAAGACGAGCTGGGGGTGAAGCGCATTGTCAGTTTTAGTTCATCAAATTCGAAGAGAATTTATTTTGCGTTGCGCTGGAATATAACAAAGCCGAACGAAAATATGACAATACGAAAATGTGTGGGTGGGTGTATATACATAGTAAGTTGTACAGTACACACGCGCTAAATGGACAATGTCTAAATAAATATGTATGCTATTCTATTATTTACATATTTGTACATATGTATGCATGCATATATACGCACGTCTTTATGTAGTAAATATAAACTTGCCTAATCACTTTCATATAATATCCAAAGTCTATTTTTTCGGGTGCCCACTGTAGCTGTGAAGTCAAAGCTCACGCGCATGTTTGTTGCCGTTTGTTTGTTTGTTTGATAACAACGCCCCATGCAATTGGCAAACAGCATCCATATCAGCCATCCCAAGAGCTCCACAACACTCCCAAACACACCCTTGCTCAACTTATATAAGCGAAAAGAAAGCCCCAGTAGCGCTGGCGGATGCTGCCGGTGTTTTGAAGGACGTTCACTGAACTTGACTTTCGCCAAATTGGGCACTGGGTGGGCAGAACGAAAAATTAAAAGAAGTGAAGAGGAGTAGAAAGTGAGAGGAGAGTGTGAGAGCGCATAGCAATAAGCGTATGTGCGTATAATTTATAGCTTAAGCCGAACGAAATTGAAATTTAAAAACAGATAATTGAAAAAATGTGACCCCAATTACAAGTGCTGGAACAAACAAGATGGGAATGATGGAATGATGAAAACAAACAATAATTAGAGCCAGCTGCGGATGGTAAATTGTTTCATAAAAATTATTTTATGAGCATGTTGAAGTTCAATTGTTAATAGAGCTTATCAAATTCTAGATAAGCTTCAAAATAACCGATAATTATGTCGTAGATGCTTCGACCAGAGTTTGTAATTGTTCTAATTTTTCTATAACTATGAGAATTGAACAACAATAATAATTGTTGTATAATTTAAATTGAACTTCAAGTTTAATAAATGAAAAACAAAGAGTTTAAAGATAATTAAATGTTTTAAATTTACATTTTCGGCATGGTCTTATACAAATTTTTCGCACTGACACACTCACACACGTAAAGCCAGCACTCACATGAAGGGATAACAATTGCGCCAAATACAAACAATTTATAAGTGCGAAACGTAGTGAGAGAAAATAACACCAAAGCACACTAAAAAAAACAACAACAATACACCGTGGCGCTCGGTAGATGGCGTGTGTGTAAGCACGCAATGTAAATTCAGAGAGCAGCATTCCAGCAAACTGGAAGGGGTAAAGCGCACTTACCTTCAACAGTTCCTTTTCAATTTCTCCGGCGCGAATGACGATCGGTCCACGAACCGCATACTCCATGGCCTTATAGTTGGCATTAATGTTGCCCATGGAGAGGACCTTTTCATTGCTAGCGGTGGACATGTTGCTATATTAAAAAAAGGCGGAATAAACGGGAAAACGATATCAAAAATTAAAGTTCACAGCTTAATGTCAAATGCAAACTCGTTTGGCTTTGCCTCCGTTTGGCACTTCAATAATATATTGAAAAATAAACAAAACAAAAACAAAATCGAAAAACACGTAAAAAGAAAAGACGAAACAACGAGTAAAAGAATAAATTTTTTGGGACTACTAACCGAACAGGAGCGTTAAACGGTGAATGGCTACCACGCGCGTTCAATGCTTCAGCTTGACTGCAGCGTCGCGTCGCTGTCGCTGTCGTTGCCGTCGTCGACGCCGTTGTGGCTGTAGCTGCTGTTGCTGGCTTTTGAGCGCTGTTATTGTTATGTAGCAGCGATTTCCAGCGTCGAATGGCAACGCTCGACGGCAGTTTACATTGTTGCTGCAGCTGACAGATGCGGCCACTGCTATGCTCCAGATGCGGCAGCCCCGATGTCACAACTGCAGTGGCAGCACGCTGTAGCGTTGACGGATTCCTTAATAGTTGGCGACTCATTTTCCTCACGGTTAATTTCGCTTGGCTACTTCGAATTTAATTACGGTAAAAACAAACGCACACACACAATGCTAAAAAGAGAAACAGCGAAAGAGAGTGTCTGTCGTTAAGTGAGATACATAAAATGGTTTGAACACAAAAGTCCAGTGCAAAAAGCGAAAGACGAAAAAGCACCACCACCACCAAGTACACACACAAACGCTCGCCTCGTCTTAAATGCGCGTGTGTATATGTGTGTATAAGAGCGTACGCTTAAACTCAATTTATAAGAGTTTGAAAACTTGGTTTGGCATTGGTATTGACATTAACCTTGCCATTGGTAAAATACATACACAGATGTATGTATGTATGTGTTGTTGTATGCATATACATATTTATGATTGCTTGTTCGGTTATTTGTTTGCTATCAAACGCGATAAGCTAACTAAAATAAATTTATGGCATCGATACACACACACATAGGCCCCCAACCGTAACGGCTACAATTCAACTATATGGAGAGAAAAAAAACAATTAACTGTTCTGTTGCCAAGACACAGTCTTTCCTGATAAGAGCTAATAATAAATTTTATTTTCTAAGTATAAGAGCTGGACAAATCCTTTGGAGCTTTCTAACGGACATTGAGCATTTTGTTTATTGGTTCGCATGGTCACACCATAGCATCTTTTGCTTGACCAGCTATCGATAGTAATCGATAATGGCGATCGCGAACAATTTGAATTTTATATTGCGGCTATTTTCAAAATGTTTGCTTCATCTTGGCCAATTTAAAAAGTTTTATGATTTTGTTTTTTACTTTCTTGCATGACAGTGGCTTTTGCTTGGTCCCATTTAGATAGCACTTGGCTTATGTATAAGATTTAATGGGTCTATAGTGCGCTATATATATGTATATGTAAACACACGCTATCAAAATTTCATGTACTTTTGACTTTCAGTCTGACAGACAACAAAACACGTCTTATCAGTGACGTCTCAGCCTAAGTCCAAACAGATCCGAGCTTATGCTATAGATTTACTATATATGTGAATACAAATATATTGGACTATACACTAGTATATATATACATATATATATAGAGAACAAGGCCTTGTTGGCAATAATTTTGCACTTTGGATTCGTATGTGCGCAATTGAGACGGTTCTATGAAAGTGTTTGCCAAAAAGATCATGAAAAAAAAAAAACAATACAATAACAGGTATAACTAATGCATAATGTATGAATATCTATATCCACATTTATATATGTATATGTGAAATATTATCTATACACAACTAAAAAGAGATGGGCAATAGCTTTACCAGAAAGAAATGCCATATACTTTTCGGCTATCTGTTTGTATAGTATTTCAACATAAATAAAATGAATAAGCAACTTTACGATGAGCTTTTGAGTGTCTTAACAGCTTGGCCAAAGTTGCTTAGATTGTTCTTATGAAAATATTAATATTTGGAAACTGAAAATAAGCAAAGCAAGATTTTATGGCTGTTAGGGAATATTTAAGCTCGATTAAAGATTTATGAGTTTGCTTTTCTTATATTATTCCACAATAGACTCGGCTTGCTTGAAGAGAGCTGAACCTGAGTGCAGTCTTAAAAATATTATAGGATGAAAAGCTCTTCGAAAATAAGCTGTTAAATTCTTTTTTTTAAGTCTTGCTAATTTATCTTTTTAGTCAATATATATCTCGCAGTGTATATGTGGACATATGTATGCATTATAAGAGTGTATAAATCAACATAAAGTATAGCAAAAGAAAAATGAATACAATCAATATGCTGTTATCAAAAACATCAGTTAGCACCTGCGTTCAGGTGCTAAAAGGGCGCGTCAACAATGCTATCGCATATACATATGTATGTATTTTTAGCCCAGCATATGTCCCCACTGAGCTCCATTGTTCTGTGCATGCATGAAATCAATAGAATATTCAATATAATCTGATTGGACTGGCGATATCTGGTTATGCAATGACAGCAGCTGCTCCAATTGCAATATTCCAGTTGGAAGAGTCCAACTATGCAAATGGCATTCGGCATTCGGCATTTGGCCTTGCGCAGATAAGATATGAATTGTATTTAATTAAGCCGCAAGTAACAGAAAAAAATATAAACAAAACAGAAATTAATAAACGCAGGTGCAACAAAAGAAAATCGGCGCCTAACTAATTGAGCAGTTTGTCAAATATTTAGGTGGAAAAACAATTCCCAATTGACACATCAGCTAAGCTAATTGGAATCCAGCTGTTGCTTTTGTTTAGCCGCTCTGCCGATTGGGAAAATTGGTGAGAATTGCGGTGTTTCGCACGCAATCCAATTGGAGGCGGCACGCAAAACGGCAAATTGAATCAAAGGCTATAATTTATGACTATTTACCGTAGTCGCACTTAACCTCAAGACTTTTTTGTTATAAATTATTTACTTTTCGCGTCTGTATGCGTGTGTATGTACTTGCATGTGTGTGTGTGTATGCGTTTTTTGTGTGTGTCTGGCGTGAGTGTCTCTGTGTAATTAGATCAAGAGCAGTTGGCATAGCGTGCACTTTTGATAAAATCGATTTTTGCACTTTTTGCAGTTGGATATACGCACCTGGCCCAATTGGAAATAGAATGTCGGTCGGCAGTTGATTATCTAATTGGTAGCACACGGCGGCCGCTGCTCTTGCTGCTTCTGCTGCTGCTGTACGGTTGTCAACTGGCGTTGATTTTAATCCGTTTGTTTGTTGTGATTTTCGCATTTGGTCCAAGCGAGAAATCAAATTGATTACATACACATATGTATACACATTTATATGTTTGCGTTTGTGTTTGCATATATGTAAGCGAAAAAATTATTAATAAACTTATCTGCGCATATTTCTGTGTGTACATACCCCACATACACTAATAAGATTTCGTAAATAAATTCTCCAAGGTACCCCTGTGTGTGCGCGTCTCTCTCTGTGTGTGTGAGTGTGTGTGCATGTATGTGGGAAGCCGAACCAAATAGCGCCAGTGTGCTCCAATGTTTTGAATTTTGACAATGAAATGGGAACAGCTGTTGGTTGCCAACAACGACAATATTTCGATAACTTAAAAATCAGCTCGCCGCCTCCTCTGACAGTGCTGCCACTGTGGTGCTGCTAAACAGCGCTTTCTTACTTTCCCAACACCCGTGGGCTATCGATAATTATTGTTTCCCATATCGCTCATCCATAGTAGACAGTGCACATCGCCAGCGTTCACATTTGTTGTTGTTGCGCCGGAGCTCGGACGTGTATTTGTTTAAATGCGGGTGTGCTGCGTCAAAACGAAATATAATTTTATTCCAGTCCAACTTATTAATATATATAGTTGTTAACTGTTCATCAGTCAATTGTGTTGTCGAAGAACTCAGTTGAGTGGACCGAATATTCCGTCGTGCAACGAAATAAATATACAACAAAAATAAAAGAAGAAATTAAATAATATCAAAGTGCATTTGCTGGCCAATACAATGCATAGTATTTAATGCCTATGTAAATAAAAGTGCAACGCCAGTATCTGCGACAGTTTACCTTTCCAACAAACATACACATACACACACACACGCGCTTACGCACTAGTAACAGGGCTGTTGGGTGAACACAAAGCACAGGTCTGTCGCACAGGACAAACTACCAAGAAGCCAACAACAACAACAGGCGTACAATAGTTCCGTTTTCCTTTTATTTTGGTCCTTTTTTTTTCTTTATTTGTTTGTTTGTTACGTTTTGCACGTGAGTGCGAGTGAGTGCGTGTGTAGCGTGTATCGGTGCGAAAGAGTGCAAGAACTTTCGCCCAATTAAAATGGCTCCAGCTCTGAGCAAATTGGCGCAGAACCAAAGCGCAATTGTTGGTGTGGCTGGCATGACGGCAGCTCTATGGATAATCGCATATGGCAAAATATCCAATAACAAGAGGTATGCTATATATATTTATATATAAAACATAGAAACATTGGGCAAGGTCTTGGCTGCACCACGAAAGTGTCTGACATTGACTGAAATAATTGTAATTTGATTTTTTTATGTGCGCCGTGGCAGCGAGTGCTGGCACAGCTTGAAGGGCAAAAACCCTAAACTATCGAACATCTAGCTTAACATTGCTGAATGTTAGCTTTAATAATGTAAATAGGTTTCTTTTGTGTAATTGTATATACTTATCCACTTTGTCTAATATATACTTATCTATATATAAATAAATATTGCTCACCTGTCTCCGGCTGAAATTTGTAAATGTCCAGAAATAGGCTAGAAAATGGCCAAATATCTCAGCACTACCCGCACTTGACGTGACGTTCGCTTGGTTTTTGTGTGTGTGTGGATCGTACGATGCGACTCTTAGGCACACAGTCTGTAGTTCCCAACTGGTTTTGTTTGGTTTTTGTTTTTCTTTTTCTTTTTTGGCCCATTTTGCAGCTTCAAACCAAGGACGTCAGCAGCAGCAACAAGATGCCAAATGCGATTGCTTCACAGCTGATCGAGTGCTCGTAATTGCTGTAATTGCTGTTCCCTTTTGCGTTTGTCTTCCTCTTGTTCACTGCTGCTAAAGATGGACCATTGCTTGCTCGTGCCAGCTCTAACCAAGAGCAGCAACTACTAATTTATGTATATGTATCGATGTATATTGTATGTATGCATATAAATTGGGAATTTTCTTTTCTCTTAGATCATAGATATTTTTGCTCTATTTCGGCTATACGTATATATAATCTAAGTCAATGATTTTCAAAATGGGTTTAGTTCATGCTGGTTTCACGTGTCGGCAAGTGGAAAGGTCGATATGTATATATGTATGTCCACGTAGTTTCCTTCATTTTTTGAATTGCACCTATTAGTGCCATTAGCTGATATCTAATCTTCAGGTGTGCCAAACCTCGGTACTCACCACGTCTGAGTGGCTGTTGTTAAAGGAAACCTTAAGCTAAGTCGCTACACGTTTCCCACCAAATATTGTTATCGCTCCCTTATAATACGCGTGTACACACTTATGTACATATATATATGTACATATATAGATATTTGTAAGTTATATAAATTAATCTATATATGTATGTATAACAATATGTTGAAAGCTTTTGGTCTAATGAATTGATATTGTGATCGCATTTTGTTTGCATGACGTTTACAATTAGTTTAAGTAGTTGGCTAAGCTCCGAATTGAATGAATTCATATTCATCGTAATATTGTTGATACATGATATATGTATATACATATATATTTGTACATACAATTGCTTAAATGTATGTTTGTAGTTCTGTCAATAAAATTCCTGCAATGGTAAAGGGATCAAAATAGTTTGGTTGGGTTGGGTTTGGTTTTTATCTAAGCGATTAGTCATAAAAGACAACAAAGAAATTTGTAATTAGAAAAAATATACATGTGCTTGTTAATTAGTTTTACTTTGCTTTTATTCTATATGTATATACATATATGTGCCCAACATAAATTTGTATATTGGTACATTATTGTAACTGTTTTGTTTGATTTATTATGTAGCTCCGTTTAGCAGTCGATATCGATAAATATTTATATGCTGCCACTAGTGACCCATACCGTTAATTAACTGCGCTTCAACCTGTAGCTTTAAATCGACCTTCATCCCCTGGCAGTTCTCTCCTGTCGCATTTGCACACTCGATTTGCATTGTGAATTTTCACTAATATAAAAAAGCATTTCATGCAAATCGATGTACAAAAGTGCAACAACTTTGACATATTGTTGCGGCGACGGCGACAGCAACAGCAGCAGCGAAAATCCAATCAAAGTAAATATAAACACAGAGAGAGAGAGAGAGACACACACACACAGTCACATGTACATCTCTATACACATCTGCAAAGCACAGTCAAATGCCGGCCATACTTTGTTTACATTTCTCAATTTGCCTGAATATGTGTATATGTGTGCGTGTATGCGTGCGTGTTGCACTAGTGGAATACGAAGAAGAAGGAAATAGAGACCGCCTGCCGCCAATGAGTATCAATGATTTTAAGCATAATACACATACACTCATGATGAAAATAATAGGTACACTTCTTAAAATTGAGTTTAGTTTAGCAAAACATTTTTTCTACTGACCCAAACATTAAAATTTTAATGCACGTTTCTGTTTTAGGTATATATAAAAGAAAATAAGTAAATTTGGAAAAAAAAAATTTATTTTTTCAAAAGTTACAAACAAAAAATCAAAAGTGCAGCTTTTGTGCTTGACTGAAATAATAGGTACACTTTACTTTGAAAAGTTGTATTTAAATTTTTGATCTTCAAATCATTAAAAATCTTTTGCTATTATATTGTTGGATTAATATCCTATATATCCTTTTTGATTTTTAATAAATATTTCTATCCGCTTGGACATACTCCTAATTCAAGTTTGGCAGGTCCCAATCGGAATCTCTCTCCAAGTTTCTTGGATGCAATCCTATAACTGGCGTTTGTTATCACATTTTTTCTTTACCATTTGCTTTTTCAATTCACTCCACGAGTTTTCGATTCGATTCAGATCAAGAGAATGACTGGATCAAGCGAGAGTTTCCACTTTATTAACATAAAACCAAGTTTTTACTCTTTTTAGACGGGTGTTTCGGGCCATTATCGTG